TTAGGACCGTTACACGTCCCAACATTGATGCCGAATTGACTGGTGTCAGTGTGCGGTTATGTGAACAATTACCAATTAGTGAAAGTTTATGCCAGTAGTCACCACGTGTCGGAAAAATTAGAGCACTACACAGTTCCGTCTTCAAATTCGAAACAATTTACCTTTTGGTGTTCGTTTGCGCTCGTTGTACGGTGTACCTGATTTATACCATATTTAGATTTACGATTACTTCCCGAAAATAAACACGGCGTAATTTAAAGTACCGAGAGCAAGTATGTAAGATGTATTTATTCCTTTTTATGATGCAAACATATTGTTTTAATTTACGTTTCTAAACAACTATCGCGTAAGATAAGAGCGCAGGAATTCATGCTTATATTAAATTTTTGAGATGCCATCTTCTTAAAACACATTTACCGAAATTTTACGATAACGGAAAGCGCATCATTTTTCTGAAAGTTATTGCTCGAGTCTTTTAACAGGTTTCAAGGAACAAAAGATGTTTTTATAAGCTTTATGTAGGAATATCACAAAAGATTTAAGACGATGATAGGATTGACCCAAGTTCATGATATTATTATTAGGTAGTTCGGAGCAAACCCCACTAAGTGCAACATTTTACAGCTTAGGGCTTTAAGGTTTTATCCCTTGTGAATGATAATATATTCCTACAACCATGCCTACAACGCAAGAGTAGTTGAATTAGATAATACATTTTTGGTTTATGCAGTATGCGGTATGCCGTACTACACACCAATAAGCATTATGCATTTGTACACTGACTCTTCCATTTACAGTGATTAGGTGCACCATTTTACCACAGATGTAACTATCCTACAGATCCTAAAATGCGCTATTTCGATCGAGGGACGAGATTTCGACATTGGGAAGTTGTAGAAAACACGTTGATATTTCGTTTGATAGATATATGGGTCCCCAATTAGTGCAGCACGAAATCTTTTCTCTCAAAGCACTTTAGGATATCGTCAATTTCATCGCGAAAACTGCAAATCACATTGCCTGCGCTTCCTATATTACTCTGATTTTGGTACTTACAAATTTCGTGAAGGAAACTGTAAAAAACTTTGCTTTACTATTCATTAATTCGGACTAAGCTCGAGTATGCCTCAATAGTATGGCAGCCAATGTATAACAATCATATGAATGCCATTGAAGCTGTTCAGCGCAAATTTTGCAAATATAATATCTACTCTATAAACGTCATGGAATATATCCTGAAAGAAAGCTCGATCATTAAGCTCTGCTATCAATGTCGGGCACGGTGTCACTAGAACAACTTCGAAAAGAATGTAGTCTCGCGTTCCTGTCCTGTCCTGTCCTGATCCTCCCAGTGGCGGCTTGTCCGATGAGGCAAGTGAGGCAGTGCCTCACCTATAGATTTATAATTTGGTACGTTACGATTATTTAATTGTAACGTCATCATAAATGTTAATCGAAGAACAAATTTAAATTAAAATTGCCAACGAATTTACTTTGTAATTTGCTGCGGGTCGCAGTATGAAAGCGCGAGGCAAATGTGTATCTGCCTCTACAGTTCCATATAATCAAACACTAGAACAACGTAAACTTTCCACCTTTGAATATAGTTGTATTTTATAATCAAAGCTTTCCACTATACGTTTTAAGTGCTGTATGTTAAACAAGGAACCATTTGAGGCTAGCCTCTGTCCGTTTAGCAGCGAAAGTGTAAAAGAGACGGAAAAGATTCGATGCCATCTCCGGAAGACTGTCGTCTGGCGTTCTCGATTGAGGAGCAGCGAATTCTAAACGGGGAGAACGACGTATGCCGATTGAGTTTTATTATTTAATTTTTGTAAGAATGAAACCATTACCAAACATTCATATAATTTGCGGTAGTGGAAGTGTTCCGTTCCTGATTTAAGTAAATCGTTAATTAACGTAAGCAAGCAGCTGTTGGAAATAAAATAAAGCTCTTACTAAGACCTGGTATGAAAAATGATTGGCTCATACGTAACATTTATGGTTTAAATATCGCGGCTAAAATAGTCGCTAATTGTCAAATGAATTGAAGGGCAGGATTGGAAACCGCCTATAAAATTAAGTAACATGCCCAACTGACAAAGAAAATTTCTTACAATGCTCATCAGAGAGGCACACATAAACCACCACGAAAATGCGCCCATGCATGCAGTATACCTACATTGTACGTACCGTGTCGTGTATCAAATACGAGTAGGTAACAAGGTACCTTCTTTTACTTTCAATGTCTACTTTATAGGTACACCCATTAAAATATAAGAAAAAGCAGTAATTTTTTTAATTTTTGGAGTAAGAAATTGTCAAATTGTAGCTAATGATTTTTTCGGAGACCCCCTCCCCCCCTCCTTCAATGCCCAGCCTCACCAGCTACGTAACTCATGAGCCGCCACTGGATCCTCCGATCCTAATAGCTTTGTGTTGTCGTCCGTCCGTCCGTCCGTTCGTCCGTGTGCGCTATAACTCTTTTTAAAAGTGGCCGATTGTGTTGAAATTTGGTGTACGGGTACTTTGGACATTAAGGACGGACGTTCAACAGGAACAAAAGTTGTAGGACTTCAAGAATCGGGAACAGGAAAAATTGAGGGCTCAGTATAAAAGAAATCAACACATTTCATTTCCTACGTCATATATCGAGTTCGGACTTTCGCTAGATTATTCCCTATGGCTTGTTGCGAAATTATGTTGCAAATGATTGAAATAATCTTCTTTTGAATGTAAAATTGATTAGGGTAAGATGAACGTGTTTATTTTATTATTTTGACAAATTAAAAACAAACTAAACTCAGGTACCTATATCCAATTTTGTATAATTATTAATTATATGCAGTAAGCATAGACTCTTGTAACAATTCAATATAACTCTTCTCTGTGGTCTAGGTCAAAATTTAGACCAAAATGTACCCAAAATTATTGGTTACACATGAATTTAGAGTTGTACAAGCATTATCTTGATGCTGAAACAGTACATCACGTTCACATTTGGTAACCTCGTGTGTGTGATTCAAAGATGTGAAATTATTTTTCTGAGACCACTTGGATTTTGATCAAAATATGTCAAAATGGTTATTTATGCACCAAGTTCGGTGGGAAAAAGACCAAGAGCATTATCTCAATGACCAAAACATGAATTTGATCTATTTTTGGCGACCACATAGCTTTTGATCAAAACATTTCAAAATCGTGATTTATGTACCAAGATCGTTGGAAAAGAACTAAGAGCATTATCTCAATGCTGAAGACATAAATTTGATACATTTTTGACGACCACGTGGATTTTAATCAAATCATGTGGTTGTAGGGAAGAACAGGCAAATCTTATTTTTAATAGTTTTTTAATGGCGATCAATTTCGGGCATGATATTGCTCATCATCAGGCAGTGCTGAAAAAATGAGTTACAACCACTTATAAATTATCGCACCGGCAAAATATGGATAACTTCATTAAAAAAAATTTAAGAGCATTATTTCGATGCCTAAGACATGAATTTAATGCATTTTTGTTAACTATAAATGTATTTTGTGGGATTAAAATAAATTGTCGTTAAAAGTGATTGGAATACTGAGGATCTTTCGATATTTCGTTGTATCGGTTTATTACATGAAGACATTGATGCACCGGATTTATTAAGAATACTGTTCCTCGTAACTACCGTGGTAAAGTAATAATTGAAGATTAAACGACTTACCTGTAAGGAAGTTCAATCGTAATTATACGAGTTACTCCGGCAGCCTATAGCACAATTGTAGTTTGCATTTTGGCAACACGGCGCGCGCACTACATTCAAAGCAAAAAAGGGGTCCGTCTTATCGGTGGCTCGTTACCCAACTCGTTATTCTGCATTTAGTATTTTGTAGATCGTAATTATGGGAAGGAAACACTGTATGTTTAAATAGATGGTGGGGTGGGATGCTATAGGTTGCCGGAGTAACTCGTATAATTACGATTGAACTTCCTTACAGGTAAGTCGCTTAATCTTCAATTATACTTCGTTACTCCGGCAGCCTATAGCACAATTGTAGATGTTGAAAGCCAAAGAAACGATCTACAAACGCCAAGGATTTACTAACCAGATGCACAGTACTGACTACAAAAAACTATAGAAAAAAGAAAACAAA